CCGTGTGAAATTGAATCCAAAATCAAGTTTCTTGCCTCCAATTTTGGTCTCTCCCTTCTCCCTGGTCGTTCCTGCCCTTCATATGATGAATTTGGGTATTTATATCGCGTCCAAATTAAGTAGAAAAGGAGTTTCAACCAAAACGAAAAACTACACCCGAAGCTTCAAAAATATACTATGCGACCGCATAGAAGGAATCTATGCGGTCGCATAGATCAAATGTTTTTGGCTCAATGAACCCCTGCAACCTTCTATGCGACCGCATAGAAGGTTACACGATGTGGTCGCATAGAAGTAACCATCTATGTGGTTTGTTCAATTTGGTCCCTGAACTTCTTTGTTGCTTCTCTTGATTTCTTTCTTCAATTTCTTCATCTTTTCAACAAATTTTATCTTCCAATTGATGATTGAGACCATCAATTCTCATGCCCCTCATTCGGCACATCTTTTGAGTATTTGCGCTTTAGTCCTCCAACTTTCAATTGTCTTCATTTCAGTCCCTCTTCAATACTTTCTTCTTCCATTTGTTTTGCTTTGTCATTGAGCTCATACTTGGCATGTTCTTACTCTCGTTTTGCTTTTAACTCAACTTTTCAATATTTGCACCTTTGGTCCTCGAACTATCAAATTGTTGCGTTTTGGTCCTTATTCGGCTCTTTTCTCCTGAATTCCACAATTTCCATTGAATTACCTACAATGCATGAATTTAACTGGATTAAATCACAATTCAACCATTTTATCCATGTTTAAGTCATGTTTATGAACCAAATAAGTGTGTAAAAACACACTTATCAAATCCCCCAAATTTAAACTATTGTTTGTCCTCAAACAATGCAGTGACTCAGAGTTAAACAAACATGGCTTAATAGCTTGCCGTGTCTCAGGATTGGAACTTAGCAATACACTAGAACATTATCAATATTGCAAGATTAAAATTAACATTTACTCGTCAGTTGCAATACTCAACGTGTGTGTGTGAACTCATGCCAACATATCAAGCTTATGAATGGTTTGTTCCCGACCCATAATGGTCAAATTTATCCTTACATCACTCGAGAGATACACAAATCCCCCAAACTTATTCTTTTCACTCAATTATCTTGGGGTGTTTTCTAAGGTTAGGAGTTTAACAACTATAATCCTTACCCTCTCTTAGTTTGGATAGATCTTACCCTTACTAGTACACATATCAACAAGTAGAGACTCTCTTTAATTTGATTGTTTCAACCTTTAAGCTCAAACTAAGCTACTTACCTTGCATTAAGGTTAAAGTCATATCAATCAAATGTCCAACAAGGGGTTATTATTATTATCATTATTTTTATTTTTATTTTTATTTTTATTTTTTTATTTTATTTTTATTTTTATTTTTTTTTCCATCTTCTCATTTGCTTTCTATATAACCCCTGTAGCGGGTTTTTAGGCGATGACTCCCAAACCAGTTGGTCTTAGGGCAACAGGTTTTAAACCCTTGCAGCCTTATTCACCCGAGTTATAAAGGCTCGATAAGATGAATTTTGTCAACTTCTCCTTTATCTTGCTTTCTATATGACCCCTGTAACAAGCTTTAGGCCGATAATTTCCAAACCAGTTGGTTTTAGGATACCAGGTTTTAAACCCTAACAGACTTACTTGCTCGAGTCATAAAGGCTTTTGAGAGAAGTGATGATTTTTCCATGTTTATTTTATAGACATTTGATATCAACAACCATCCTCAACTTAAAGCTTTCACCTATTTCTCACCTTTTGGGTCTAGGCAATCCACACAATATAAATTCATGCACTGAGCCTCTACTTATCTCCATGTTTACTTATAGTGGCTCAACCATCTCCAAACTATCCTATGGTGATTTAACGGGTTAACCTGGTTTCTCATGTTTTACTCCAACAATCCTATTCAATAACTTAACTTGAAAACATGAGTGGCGTGCAAAAGAATGTCAAGCATTGCATCAATAAGTATCCGCTAATTAAATCTTGTACTATATTAACAGTTCTATGTTTCACCTGTCCAATAATCACATCATAGCCGGCAAGGCTACCAAACCCACACAAGCATGCAAAAGTAAAATCAACACTCATTCATCACGCATGCATCATGCAAGAAGGTAGTCAATTTAATGATTGATTGTGAAAATGCATATTAACTACATGCCGAATATTTGTTTGAAAATTATGCTACCATCCTCCAAACTTATACAGTACATTGTCCTCAATGTAAATGTAAAGTTAGAAAAGCATAATTTCAAAAATATAAATACAA